CCAAAGTTCTTTATATATATATATATAATGTGTGTATAAGCAAACTTTTGTAATTTAATACAACAGTTCTTAATCAAATTTAGATTCCCCTTCCCCATCCATGCCTCCCCCATTCCCCCCACCGAACCTCATGTATTCCACCATACATGTTACATCTTTTTCATTTAGGCATCACTGTGACTAGGGAGGGATTTAAGAGGGAGGCCAGATAGGAGGAAAAAGAGTAGCGATGAATGAATCTTGAGGGGCTAGGAAACCTAGAGGGAAAAGTGATGCCCTTGAAACCCCATGAGAAATGCACACACAATGTCAGAACATTAATACATATATATACCTGGGAGCTGCTTGGCAAAGAACACAGTGCCAGACAGAAGAGATCTCCCTTAGAGCAGTTGGTGAAGGTCGTCCAGGAGACTCCCAAAATAACACAGGGTATTGCCAAATTACTTGGTTAGATCTCCCAGAACTAGTAGAGAAAACCCCACTGTTGAGGTCAGGACATATTTAGGGTACATTACTTGAAACAATGGAGCAGGAACTGACCTAGAAGCCTTCAAACTGAAGTTTGGCTATCATAACGCTAGATGATGGTATGCAAAAGTCTAACGGAGACAATCAATGGTCCAACCCAGCTCCAACACCTAATAACCATAATGACTGGCATGGCAAACTACCTCTATTGGTGCAGTAATGGCAGTGTAATCTGAGGGGCAATCAAGAGCTATCTAATGGGACTTAAAGCCCTCTCAATGGGAGGGAACTCAAGAGTGGCACTGTAAACTCAGTTAAATATGCATGGCAGGAGGGGACATAGATACTATAAAAACCCTATCCATTTCATATCTCAAGACAAATGAATCTTCTTACTATATGCTAAATATCGATCCTTATATTTACAGACAAGCATATCATACAGCACTCATCAAAGAAACTTCTTTTTGCAACAGATGGAGGCTCCTGCAGAACTGCACATCTGGCCAGACACAGAGAACATACATCTGAGAGATGCCCAGTAATAGGTGATGCAATGTTCTTTTTTAGGACTAGATGTCTTTTATTTATGAGTATATGCTGACACATTATTTATATATATTTTTTAGGAATTTCATACATGAGTACTATATGTACTAGATGTACTATATGTACATTATTTTCACCCTTGTCTCTCCCCCTCCATGTCCTCCCACATCCCCCTACTCTTCAATTTCATGACTCTCTTTTAGTTATTATTGTTACATATACACAAAATCATACAGACACACATACACACACACCGTACACAACCTACAAAATCCGTTTTGTTTTGCTTAATTGTACATGTGTCTGGGGCTGAGCACTTGGGATTAGATGACCTGTCAGGGAGTTCATCCCTAGAGAAAACTGGCTCTCCTTCTCTCAGCATCCATTGATTGCCTGTAGCTTTTGTTGAAACAGTAGTAAAAGAAAAAGAAAAAAAAAACCTTCTGACTAAAAAAAGCCCACATTCAAATGGATTCACAGCAGAATTCTACCTGACCTTCAAAAAAGAATGACAACCAATGCTGCTTGAATTATTCAGAAAGCAAAACTATAAACAGAAGGAGCACTTCCAAATTCTTTTCATTAGCCAGTATTACTCTAATACCAAAACTAGGTAAAGATATAACAAAAATGAAAACAACATAGGTACAAAAATTCTCAACAAAATATTTTCAAACTGAATACAGCATATATTAAAAATATCATCCACTGAAGCATCAATGTTCTTCAAGGTGCTGCATAAAAATAGGAGCAGAGGAAACACTACCAAACTCATTCTATGAAACCAGCATTACCTTGATATCAGAAATAGTTAAGGACACAACAAAATAGTTAAGGACACAACAGTACATCAATATTCCTGATTAATATAAATGCAAAACTTCTCAATAAAGTGCTTGAAAACCAAATGACACTCTATGAACTTTCGTTCCAAAAATTCAAGGATGATTTTGCATACAAAAATCAAGAAACACAATATAGCATCTAAATAGACTTAAGGCCACAAAGCACATGATTATCTCCATAGATATATAAAAGGACATTGGTGGCTTGCCATCCTTTCATGATAAAAGCTCTAAAGAAAGGAGGAGTAGAAGAAACATACCTCATAATAAAGGTTATATACAAAACACCTGTAACAAACATTATATTAAGTAGGAAAACACTGAGACTATTTCCTGTAAAATAAGAGACAAGGCAAATATGTGCATTCTCTCCAATAGTACTCAATATAGTGCTCAAGGTCTTTGCACACCAGAGTCCAAAATACCCCAAACAGCCAAGTCTGTCCTAAAGAGAAAGAGCATAGCAACAAAACCATAATAATAAAACTTGCAGGAGGCAGACAGACAGACAGACACACACACACAGAAAAAAAGACACATACCAATGTTATAAGGTCCCAGAAATATAATAAACAAACATAATCTAATTTTCAACAAATGTGTCAAAAAACAGAATGTAAAAAGGACAGTCTTTAACAAAAAGTTCTAGGAAACCTATATTTCCACACGTAAAAGAATGAAACTAGATCAGTATTGGTCACCCTGCCCCGAACATCAATTCAAAATGGTCCCCAAACCTTAATATAAGACCTAAAATTCCTAAAATTCTAGAGAAAGCCATAAACAAAACACTTCAAGATATAAGTGTTGAGAAAGACTTTCTGTAAAGAACTCCAGTGGCACAGGAAGAGGAAGTAATTCAAAGAATTAACAAGTGGGATTACATGAAATTAAAAATATTTCTCCATAACAAAGAAAGTCATCAACAGAGTAAAGGGCTGATCTTCAGAATAGAAAAAAATCATTGCCAGCTATACACCAGGCAGGCGGTTTACTCACAGACACTATAAAGAACTCTGAAAATTAAATACCATAAAATCCAAATCATTTAATCAACCAACAGGTTGATGATTTGAATAAGCAGTTCTGAAAAGGAAAACTACAAATGACCAATCAATAATGAAAATGTTTTCAAAATATTAACTATAAGTAAAATGCAATTAAACTGTTTGAATTTCCATTTTACCCCAGTCAGAATGACTAGCATCAGGCATACAGAAAGGGAGAAAAAGCTTAGCCAAGTGTACATCGGACAGTGGGTTAATATCTAGAATGTGTAAAAAGTTAAAAAATGAGTCACCAAATATAAACCATATCATCTGACCAACAAATAGACAAATGAACTAAACAGAGAGTTCTCCAAATAAAAAATAGAAATGGCCTCCATTTGTTGTGAAAATATGCTTCCTTTGATACGTGGTGAGAGCTATACTTACCTATGAATATAAGCATAAGTATTCATTAGCCATTTACGAACTTCTATGCTGGGATTTTGCCTGGCTTAATATTATGTGGGTCTTGTGCAGCTGTCCCCATGGCTGTGAGTTTATTTGAGTAGCTGCAAATCAACAGCTGCTTGGAGAGGGAGAGTTGGTTTTCTTTAGGGATGTGATGCTGGATAGGTTAACCAGGCTCCAGTGGATAGACGCATACAGCAGGGCATTTGGGGATACAAGTTTGACCAATAGGCCTTAATACATATAACTGAGTACATGAAATTGGGCAGGGTATATTAAGAGGAGGGTACAGATAGAGTGGGGATTCTAAATATGATCAACATGTATTGTGTGAAATTAACAAAAATTTATTAAAAATGAAAAAGAGAGTAAGTATTGAGAATACAGTAAGAGATTATATTGATTTAGGAAAGTGACAGTAGTAGGTTCTTCTCTAAGGTCTTTGACCTCTTTAGCCATAGATTTGTGAATATGTTTACAATATCAGGCATGGGTTTCCTACTACCGGGTGGGCCTCAAGTCCAATTACACAACTATTGGTTCCCCCCAGGATAAAAGTACCACTGTTGCACAAATAGATATTTTGCTAGACTGGTCATTGTTGTTAGTCAGCCAATCAAAATGTAGAGAATAAATAACCATTGTGTTCCTAGCTCCAACTGATACATGTGCAATGCAATCTTTATTCCTAAGGCTCAGGGAACATCTTGAAAGAGGGCACAGAAAGATTGTAAGAGCCAGAGGACCAGGATTTCTGCTGGTAGATAGCGTCTTCTAGACCTGACAAGTGCTTCATCCATGAAATCTCAGGCAATATTGTTGCCTAAACAATATGTGCATAATGACAGTAGCATTTGACATTCCAATGTGAATGGGAAAAATGTCATGGGGTCCCACCTCAAGAAGAGCTACAGGTAATCAATATTTTTCTAGAAAAAAATCTCCCTGATAGATTATCCAAACCCAAGTGATCAGCCCTAAGCACATGTGTACACACATGAGCACTACTATAATGGACTCAGTGCAACGTGTGTGTGTGTGTGCGTGCATGTGTGTGTGTGTGTAAAACAATATTTTAAAAGAAGCCTTGAGAGAGAGTTGGGGATGTGTGAAGAGTTGGTGGGGGGAAAGCAAGTGGTGGAAATGATGTAAATTCAATAATCATCGATAAAATTATTTTAATTTTTTTTTAATTTTAAAAAAGAAATGGAAATTATCATTTTAAAAATGTTCAACATCGTCAGCCATCAGAGAAATGTAAATTAATACCTCTTTGGGATTCCATCTCACTATAGTCAGAATGGGTATGATCAAGAAAACAAATGAGAACAAATGTTGGTAAAAACAGAGAAAGAGGAACCCCCATATACTGCTGGTGGTTATGTAAATTAGACCAGCTACTTTGGAAATCAGTGTGGAAATTCCTCAAAAACTAAAAATAGAACTGCAATATGAACCAGCTAGTCCACTCTTGGGTATAGAGCTGAAGGATTGTAAGTAAGCTTATCAAAAGATATTTTGCAGACATAATTCTTGCTGAACTATTCACAATGCCAAAGATAGGAGAACAGTGTAGGTATGCATCAACAGATGACTAGATCAACAAAATGCAGTATATATAAACAATGGAATTTTATTCAACTGTAAAGAAGAATGAAATTACAACATTTACAGGAAAAATGATTGGAACTCAACATCAATATGTAAGCAAAATAAACAAGACTTGGAGAGACAAATGTCACATATTCTTTCATGTATAGAATTCAGAATATACATATATACATATATATATGACAAGAAAATAGAGGGAGGCAAGAGAGATATAAAAGGAGGCATGCAAGGTACAATAAGGGAGGTAATGAAATCCAAGAGGAAGGGACAGAATATTTGTATGGTGAATACAGAAGGGAGAACTATTAATAGGAAGAAAAGGGAATAGCAGGCATGAGAGTGGCATATGGGGGAGGGCAGTGGAGAGAGTGTATAAGAAAAAAGTATAATGATGAATGTATATGAAGAATCTCACAATAAAACCCATTTCTTCATATGCTAACCAAAAACTGCAATAAAAATAAGGATAATCCAAAAAAGTAGGGACAAAACACCAATAGAAATTTTCTAAAGCAAACCACTGCTATATAAAATTCCATTTTAATGAACCCAATATTTGAAAATGGTAAGCTTCAAACTTTACATTGGGAATGACGTATATTACGAATGATTCTACCACAGAGATTTATTAAATGGCAGTATTTGTTCTTCATTTATGATAGGATTCATCAATGCATCTTTGCTTATGAAAAATTAGGTCCTACTACACCTTAGCTGTTAGCTACATGAAAAATACATACATATATATGATTGTTCATTAATATATTGGTTTAACAGTATCAAGTGAAGATGTGCCTGAAGTTGTATATGAAGCAATCATCCTACCCAGGGAATGGTACAATTGATTTGTACAACAAATATATGAGAATATTTTCTCCATTAGTGTCAGTAAACTAAAATATGTATCATATCAGATACTTATAGACATTCAGGCAAAGGGTTTTCATTTTAAGCCCTGAAACTCAATTTTGTCAATAGAACATAATTCTACTTAAGGAGTTTGCACTGTGGGTGGTAATTTTGAAATATTTGATGCTCATCTGCATTGTTTCTTTCTCCTATTTAAGAAAATTTCATGGATATTTTAAGTTGTAAGGATATGAATTTCCATAATTCATATTAATATTAAGAGCCACCTTCTGTAACACAATTGGGTCAAGTAGTGTCTATTTTCTTAATAAAGTTAAGGTCCTATTTTTCTTATGCACACTTTTAATGTGCAGATAATTCGTGCATATCCACTAGTATTCAGTTTACATTTTGCTTTTTTCATGTGAAGATAAAAAGATTGGACCCATTTCTGAGGAATAAGTGTGCAATTCTTGCTGTGGATTATGACTTTGGCTAAACAAATTCTTTGTTTCACAAATGGTTCACAGAAATATATATTCCTATTTAGGAATATAATATTGAAACAGATAACTCCTTCCGATGGATTACTTTTGAGGACATAGTGAAGTGGGTCATGTTCCTTTATGACACTCAAAATCATTTTGAAGTAGCATAGCTCAATTGATAAGGGCACATAGGTATTCTGGGTAATTATTTGATCACATTGTCTTGGAATCATCTAAACATTCAAGAGAGATAGTCTGAAGCCTCTCCTTCCTCTGATGAATTTCAAAAGTACTGTCTTTGCATCGAATGCATGACTGAATAACCAAACCTCCGTGTTCTGAAAATTTATTACGAAATTCTGAAGTCATAAAATAATATACAACTGGATCAAGACAACAATTCAGATTTGCAAGACACAAAGAAATGATATGGAAACATAGAGTGCTTTTAATAAAGGAACAGTTCGAGAAGACTTGTTGCTTCACCATCATAAAGAATGGGAAATTGAGATGGTAGGGAGTAAAACACACAATGAACACCACTGCACACATCAGGACCATCCTTAAAGCCTTTTTCCTCTCTTTGGTATTCTGTGGTGGGGCTTCGGATTCCTGTAATGATTTTCTTGTTTTCCACGTGCAATATGTAATAATTACAACAGGCAATACAAACCCTCCAAGTTCAGCAGCAGTTACCATGCCAACAGAGGAAGCCATGCTAATGTTTTGAAGCCCTAAATCAGCAAAGCAAAATTTGCTGTTGGCTAATCCAGCACTTCTCAAGATGGGAAGTGGTAAACAGGCAGTCCCCACGATGACCCAGATGGCAGCACTGATACCCACGTCATACCGACGCTTCCAATTCCTTGCCCTGAATGGCTTGAGGAGAAAGAGACACCTCTGAAGACTGATGCATGTCAAGAAAAAAATGCTGGCGTACATGTTGAGATATTTCAGGTAGAAACACAGCAGGCAAAGGGCCTTCTGGAATGGCCAGTCCCGGTGGATATAATAGTAAATCCGGAGAGGTAAGGACAGGACGTGAGCAAGGTCAGCCACAGAGAGGTTGATCATGAAGATGATGGCTTTATTTTTCTTGCTGATGAAGCGACATAGAACCCACAAGGCTGCACTGTTAGCCAGAAGACCAGGAATGAATATGAGGCCGTAGGTGGTTGCATAGAGGGAGTTCTGGAATGACATTTGATGATCAGGGCACTTTACTCTCGTAGCGTTTGTGCTGTTACTTCCCATCTTGAGCATTTATGTTCCTTCCTTAGGAAAAGCATTAGAGTGACGATTTCTGCAGAAAATAGAATACAAATAGTGAAAAGTAGGTCAGGCCATGTTTGAATATGGAGAATGTGTGTGTGTGTGTGTGTGTGTGTGTGTGTGTGTGTGTGTGTGTGTGTGTGTGTGTTCGTGTGTGTGTGTTCTGTGTGATTGGGTTGAACTGAATGCATTTTCTGTGATCACATAATGTTTCACATAGGTAGGATCACAGATAAGTAAATATGAAATTCCTACAATGCTCATGTTGTTCCCTAATACATCTATCATGTTAGAATAAAATCTCTTTTCAAAATAAGCATTACCGTAGAACTACTGCATAACCATTTCAAGAGTTAGAATCCTGAAAAGTGAAAAGTTTAAATATCTC